GGATTTGAGGTTTTGGGATTTTTTTATGAGATGGAAAATACTCATCATCATAGATCACTTTTACACCCTAGTAGCTGGTTAAGAAGAGAAAAAGATATTCCTGAAATTGCACCAGGAGGAGGAGAAAAAATTTTGGGAGTAGAAGAAATTCAACAACTTGCTAAATTCCCAATTTTCGATAAGGTATAACTATATGATATTTGATTTAATCTGACTTATCTTAATACGATAAAGTATAATTATATGATATTTCATTCGATATATCTAATATATTCTGTATAAGATTTAAATTCTAATTCATTTAAAGGGGATATATAGATAGATATATATATATATAAAACTTGGATTCAAAATATTTTAATTATAACTATAACTTTAATAGTTTTTCAATTAAAAGAAATCAAGTTATATCGATTTATTTTGTCTTTTCACTTATGTAATGATCTCATTTCTCTAGGGATTTTAATTTTTTTAAAAATATAATAATATGTTTTTAGGGAATGAGTGGGTGAATTTGAGGGGAGGGTGAAGTATGAATTTTTTAAAAGATATTACATAAAAAAAATTAAAAATAAAGGGAGGGGGGTAGTGGAGCGGGATAAGAAAAATAATTTATACTTTATTTTTAAAAAAAATATTTTTGGGGAGATAATAATACTTTAATCTTTAGTTTTTAATTAATATTAATAGTTTATTATTGATTTTTTTGTTAAGGTGGAATATTTTACAAATAAAAGAGAGAGTGTATGTTTCTCAAACTAGTACGTAAAAAAAACTCATATTCTCAATGCTTCGGATATGAAACTAAAAAAGCTGAGATAGTTTAGATGTATTATTTACATTTATTATTTCTAATAATAATAATTATATTGAAAAAAAAATTAAGAAAAAAAATCAAACATATTTAATTTAATTGCATATTACAAAAACCAAAACTCATAATATCATGGCTTTAAATGATAAATTAATTTTGTAGATTAACTATAATCTCATTAATCATCGATGTGAGACTTTTGTCATTCTTTAACATCTCATCTCACGCACCGGGCGCTGCTCTGATACCATGTGAAATTAGGTCTTAAGCCTAACTCACACTCCAAAAGTCAGCTCAAAGGGGGGGAGGGGAGGGGGGGGATTGCACAAGCGTTATGAGGAGTCCACTCATCTCATTAATCATCGATGTGGGACTTTTGTCATTCTTTAACGTTAAGCCTACAGTAAAATAGTGATAAATAAATTATTTGTTTAAATATATTGTACTTGTTTAACAGGTTGAAATTAATGATGATCACGGTGACAATCTTTGGAAATTTATGAGGAAATCACAAGATGTCCAAAAAATCAATCAAGAGTTTGAAAAATTTCTAATAGATGGAGATGGAGTACCCGTAAAACACTTTATTTTATATGAGGGAGAAAAATTAGATCCACAACCCGTGAGATCAGGAGAATTTCCTGGTGAATCAGTCACATCAAAAGATACCTATATAGTAAAAGTACGTCTTAATTTATTTATAATATAAGTTTTAATAATAGATAATATATTTATCATACATTTTAATACACTTATAATATAATGTGACAAATTTTTACCAAACAAATATAATATATTTCAAAAAACAATTATAATTCAAATATATTGCATACATAATTTACTTTTAATACATAGCACAAATTTATCAAAATATTGCTATAAATAGTAATAAACAAAAAGTATCACTAAAATCAGTAATTATTTTTTAAAATGTATTAATTTTTCCTTAATTTTTTTTTCAAAAAAAATAAACCATTATTTTAATAAAAGTAATCAATTTATTTACTTTATTAGTATTATTATGTGAAATTTGACTTATTCCTTTTTTCACCTATTCACAGGCTACCATTGATGAATTTCACTGGAGAGACGATCCCAATTATAATTATTAAATATATTACATCAAAGTTAATATTGAATTGCTAACATTGTGTGAACATTTTAGTATAAGTATTGTAATAATTGAGATATATTTATGAATAATATATTGTTGTTTGTTGTTTTAAGTATTTATTCTTATGTTTTGCCTAAGCTTCCGGGGCTAATTTCATATTCTCTATATTGATTTATCTGACACTTTTTATTTTTTTAGAATGAAACAATTTAAGTTTGCTGGAATTTTGTGCATGAAATTTTTAAAATTTTAAAATAATATATATATATATATATATATTTATAAGCCTTATATATATATATATATATATATATATATATATATAGTA